CTCATTTTATTTTTAAAAACTATTTTATATTCTTATGTTAAAAGATAAATTTCATTAAACCAAACTCATTCTGATGTAATTTATGTTCAAAATATTATTTTCCATGTGAACTCTAATTTAACAATTATAACATAATATCAACATATATATAAACAACACGAGCATGCAAAACATATGTGCATATACCAACTATAAACTGGTGAGATTTTGTGAGTCATCATAAAAATGTGAAGTCATTCCTAATGGACATAAAAGGACCAAAAATCTTGTAATGTCTTCACGCTCCCACTTTCTTCAACACATTATAGAAAGTTTATAAAAAATAATTTTTAAGGTTGTAAAACTTTAATAAAATCAAGTTTATAAGCTTTTGATCTTCAAAACGACTATCATCTTCATTCTTGTTACATTTTTATAAAATAAATTATTTCTAAAACTAATCTATTACTTACAAAAATAAACGAAAAGAAAACTATATATTTGACTATTACATAACATACGAATATTACAACCATTTTAAAAAAAATCAACACAAACACATCAAAAGAAGTTCATCGCTAGTTTATGCACAACATATATATATATATATATATATATATATATATATATATAGATATATAATATATATAGTATATAGACACATAAACACATACACACACAAAATTATATAAAACAACACTTTATTTTAGTGACAAAAAATGCATGTAAACTTTTGTCGCTAAAATAACAATTATAGAATTGAAAATATGTATGAAAATTTCTTACAAAAAGAAAATCATCCATGTCTTCCAAAAAACAAATATTATACCAAATAATCTAATAATATAATCAAGCTTGCAAAAATAACTCTGATAACAATTGTTGGGTTTTATTCAAAATCGTTTATCCAAAAATGCTAATAATAGCAATGGAAGCTTAAAAATAGAATAAACTTAAAAGTTTTTTTTAACCCACCAATGATCATTTTGCAATCATGGAAAGATTAAATCAACCATAGAAGGAAAACTGTTATAACCTTTGAAGACTTTAATTCTCATGGGAGATGGAAGTTGTTTAAGTGATGCATGAAGCTCCAACGAAGAAGCTCTCTACAAGTATCCACCAAGCAAGAGTAAATCACTTCAATATGCTAGTATTTACTTGTATTAATATGTTCTTAAGCCACTAAGACTTATATCAAATAATCCTTAAGAAGAACCAACTTATAAACACTATATCTTCACAACACTTTACAAAAAGGAGGAGAGGGAAGAGCACCTTATGTTCTCGGACTTAAGGAGGAAAAAAGAAGAGAAGAAGCATGAGAAAAAGTAGTTAGTTTTTTCTCCATGACCTTCTTTATATACTAACATGTGTGCACCAAGTCAAACCAAGTCATTTAACGAATGTATGGAACTCTATGACAAGCATGGTAGGAATATAAGGAAAGGCAACACACTATGTCTTCTTCATGAAGGGAATCCACGATTTTGACTCTTTTAAGAGCCAAAATTGAGTGTCATTTACATAATCTCCTAACTAGTAGTTACATATGAACTAAATGGTTATTCAAAGGGTCCATTTAATTTGTACACAACATATATATATATATATATATATATATATATATATATATAATATATATATATATATATATATATATATATATATATATATATATATATATATATCTTATTCTCTTTTGTTATTATTTCTTAGAAACAATAATTGTCAATATGTTGGTAATATGATTTTCATAAAATAATGTTTTTCTAATTAAATACAAGTGTTGATAATATTTATTAATAATCAAATTACTCTAATAAATAATCAATAAGTATCAGCTTACTATAAGGCGTGACCCTATAGGATCATATGTCATTAGCAAATATCATTCTACAATGACTATTAGGCATATAGATCTTGCACAATCAACACTACAACATTTGCACCTCCCATACGCCTACCAGTTTCATCGTATGAGGTGGGGTAAGACCACTTACCGAGTTTAGTGAGATTTCTACGGTGTCAAAATGCGAACGCCATATGTTAGAACTTGGTTACGTAGTCTTGGATGTTTCCTTTTTGACGGATTGCCAAAAACTGTTCATATACACTCCCATCTCATGATGGATGGAAGCGTTCTAGTAGTTGTTCTTTTAAATCTTCCCATGAACGAAATGGCTTCTGGTTATAGCTCTGTCGATACCATGATAGGGCCGCACCTTCTAAACAAATTACATTTACTCGCAATTGGTCTCGTTCTCCAATACCATGAACTTCGAAAAAATGCTCCGCTCGATAAATCCATCCAAATACGTCGTGATTCTTAACATATTCCTAAACCAATTCTAATACCTTCTAAACAAATTGCAGCTATGGAGCACTATTTATAGTGTCCAACACTCTACTACTTAACAGATTCCTAACCAATTCTAATACATGTTTTGTATAATATAAACCCTCCTAATTTAAAACAAAACATTCCAAAACGACCCACATAGGGGGCCATATCAACAGGACACATTGCTAAGTCTCGATAGAGGTAGTGAGGTGAAATGACAAATCACACTCCACAACTAATAGAAAAGTTGGAGAGGTTCCATCAATATAACAAAAGGGATATAGTTTATATGTCAACATGGACAAGATCTATGAACAAAGATTAATGTTGCTCTAGGCAAAATCTGTTAATTCTTGGCTTCGTTTCTAAATTGAATAATCTGCAATATAAAATGTTAGTAATAAACGCAATGGTTTGGGCTCGAGTTGGACTCGATTTCCTTAACCAACCATAACAGTATGTAGTGCCGGATATGACTACTTGCCTGAAAGAATTGCCGGGAATAGTTGCAGAGAAAAGGAGGGAAGAAAATGAGTATTTGCATCTGTGTTTCGAATGAGGCAGCAGTTGTCCGATTTTATACTGGTTTGTAATGACAAGAAATCCGCAGAAGATGAATATTTACATCTGTGTGTCAAAGCTCTCACGGAGAAAAACACAAACCCACTTTGAGTTTTATATATATATATATATATATATATATATATATATATATATATATATATATATATATATATATATAGACACACACGTCCAAAGTTAGTTAAAATATACATATTTATACTAAAAATTTCCAACAAAATGAACATCAAAATATTCTGTGGCCATCTTTTTGGTAGCAAAAGTATAGCATTTGCAAGAGACAAGTACTATATGACATAAACCACTATTCAATTTTTTCACATTTTGGTCCTATGTAAGTAAACAAACGTAAAACCTACGACATAATCAAGGTAATTTTGCAAAAACCAACCCTTTCGCTTTTCGATTCACTATAGAAATTACAAAAAATAAAGAAATCAAATCAAATTGAAGAAAATCATGTGATTAGAAGCTTATTTGCACTTGCAACAATCACCTAGCTAGCAAGATACTAACCAACAAAAACCCCTAACCTACCAAAAACATATCTATCCTACAACAACCAAAAAAACAATCCTATGTAATAACCTAAGACAACCAACCAAAAAAAAAAAATCCTTTTTTGTCCTTTTCGATGGAAGAATTTCTTCGATAAATGCTTATTTACATATTGCAAAAATCAATAGTCAGCTTCAAGAAACTTCTCATAACTAGTCCCATAAAGAGTCTTGTTAATATCAACCCAATTCATTATATGTTCCGATAACGCCCCTTTGTGAATCTTGACTTGCCTACTGGTCAACTCCATACGTGGGATCTTCAAAAAGTCTTGAACTTGTTTAAGTTTCTACAAACCCCATTATCAAACATTATACTTTACGCAACAACACTTGTACATTATGCAATAAAACAAGTACACTTACAGATGGGTTTGTGATAAGATCTTCATAGTAAAGAACCATGTGTCTTGTTCCATTGAAGAACTCGAGTGCTTTCATGGCTGTTGCTTCCATTTCTCTCAAATCCAATGTTAGTGATGATGTGTTGATTGTAGGTTTGTATTTAGAAAGCTTTGAAGCCTGTTTACATAAAAAGACAAAATATTCATGATACTGTTTTATTTTTGAGTTAATGCAGAAAGAATGACTTAATAAAGAAAGTCAGGTAAATGAGGCTTTGGGTGGGACCCACCTCCTCGTGTGAGTGGACATGAGACACGTGTATGCCGTTTAAAATTTTGGCATCTTTATCGTAAGAATTTGCAAGAATTGAAACCAATCTACGAAGCATATTTCTTCTTAATAAGAAAATTACGGAAACGCCCTTATCGTTGAAGTAGTCCACAATTTCTTTAGGGTGTTCCATCAAACCCTGTGTTTTAAAAAAAAAAAACGTAAATCATAAAATGCATAATTTTTAATTGTTCTGAATCAACCTTTTTTTTTATCCAAATTGACCATTTTTATACAAGAAAAAATATAGGTTTAATAAAAAAAATATCAAAATAGGATGTGTAATTTTGTATAATAACAAAATGACCACTTTTTTCTTCACATATAACACAAAATAACCACCCAAATTGCAATATAGATTTTGTGAAGTGTGAAATTGATTTATAAATGGTATCCACCACAAAAAAAAACTTTTAAAAAATTACAAAATGGCATCATATTTTACGAAATGACATGGTAATGTCATTTCGCAAAGATAATCACAATTATTTTAAATTTTTTAAAAGGTTTTTAGTGGTGGGGACCATTAATAAAGCAATTTCGTAATTCACAAAATCCATATTGCAAATTAGGTTGTTATTTTGTGTTATATGTGAAGAAAAAAGTGGTCATTTTGTTGCAGAAAAGTCACATTACTTTCGAAATTTTTTTGATAAAGTCCTAAAAAAAAATTAACAGAAAAGTCCCGCTTATTTAATATTTTGCCAAAATTAATAAAAAAATCCTTATTTTTATTTTAACAGGAAATGACAGATTATCGTGTAAAATTAAATAATCAGGACTTTTCTGTTCACAAAAAAAAAAATTTGGACTTTATCAAAAATTTTCCCAAAATAATGGGACTTTTCTGCATATTTCCCTTTTGTTATTATACATCTCACATTTTGGTCATTTTGGTTATTTTTGTGACTAACCAAATATATATATATATATATATATATATATATATATATATATATATATATATATATATATAATACCTGATTAAGCATCCATTTGAAGCCAATTGCAGCAGAACACTCATTCTTGGAAGAACTAGTTAGCCAATCCAAATTATAAACACTATCAAGTGTTTTAATAATTGATGAAATATTATTTCTCCTAAATTTTTGACCAAAAATTTCACCATTTGAACTAACATTTATATGACTATTTAATAAAGTCTCAAACCACCCACTTCCTGATCTTTGCATTGACAAAATTGCAAACAATCGCACAGGATTCCCAACACATTCCAATCTGTAAATACAAAAATACGAAAATTTATAATATATAAATTATAAATCTTGAAAATGATTTTAGTTTTTTTTTTTACCTTTTGAAAGTTTTGGGATTTGGGTAATGCAAGAAAGGGATTTCTGATCGATCAATGAAGGCGTTGTAACATTGCCTTTGGATTACTTGAATATCAAGAAACGTGTTCTTTGTTTGGATGTTTATTTGTTTAAAACAAATTGAACAAATGTAAACACCAAACACCATTGAAAATATTAATACAATTAGTCTTAAAACTGGTGAAGAAGACTTCTTTGGAGGCTTGATTATGAGAGCATCCTGTAAATTGATTATATTGAGTACATGAAATCTTGAAATAAAGAGATTAAATGAAGTATGAAGGATGGAAATTAAAGAATCTAAATTGAAGACTAATTATTGAGATAAATACACCAATTATGCTCATGATTGCAGAATGTTACAAATAATTTTAGAAAAAGTTGTTAATTTATTATAGGATACCCAAAACCCAAATCAAGAAAGCAAAAAAGGGGAAAAGTATATAAAAGAATAATGCTCTTAAAGAGATTAAATAACAAAGTATAAAAGAGGTATACATCAATGAGCAGAAATTTAAAACTTTATCAGATGAGTTAAACATAAAAGCATCATTCAGTCCAAACCCATTTGATTTATTGAAGAATTTTAGAAAAAATATAGTTCATAAGAAATTTGGAATTAATTTTGGACAAAAAATTATGGTTATTACTCACAAACGAAATATTTATGCATATCGGGAGAAAAAGATATATAATTAAAACATTACTGAGTTAACAAAAATTACTGAATGCATGCAAAAAAACTAATAGATATAAAAGCGATTAAATGAAGTATTAATAAGAACATAAATTACTGAAATCTTAGGGCATCCACAACCGCATACTAAAAACATAAACTTTACACTAAATTTAGTTGATTTGAACGTAAAAATAGCACTCGAATCGAATCCACTTTGATTTCATTACAAACATATAATCAAAACAATTTATGATGCCTTCAGTTTCCAATTTTGGGCAAAAAAAAACTATGCTCGTAATAAGGGAAAAAAACAGTCAATTGAATACAACAAAAGCATTTAAAAATTATGTACTTCAGATTCTTATCTATCGAGCTAATTAACAAAAATCGAACTTTTTTTATACAATAGAATCATAAAGTAGTTAAAACCCCAAACTAGAACAAATGGAATACCTTATTCCAGAACACAATAGTTTCTGCCATTACAGTGATCTTTGAAGTAGAGTTTACAAATTCTTTGTCTTCTTCTTCTTCACTGAATCATCTTCTTAGCAGCATTCAATAGCCGATTCCTCCAAGCAGACATAACTGAGCTGAGATCTTTGGAAGATCGGTGAGATTTAACAAACAGCTGGTGTGGCGTGTGTGCCCCTTTGTCAGAGGCTTTTCGAGAGTCGAGACTATAAATTGTAAATTATTTTGGGGTTTTGGAGTATAAATTTCGTATTGTTTTTCGTATCCATATGGCAAAATCTTGATGAATTTGGTACGATTCGCGTGTAAAGCGGAAGATTTTGAATATTTTGACTTTTATTTGGGGGAAAGAGTCATAAGACCGAAGACCGTGTTTTAATGCTACTGTTGTTGATGCGTTCATTACAAAAATATGTCGAGTTTCAGACAAAACCCCTTGAGGTTTTACCATGTTTACATAATGCATCCTTCTTCTTTTACTTATTAAAAAATGCATCTAATGTACTCTTGTTGAGTTGTGTTTTCTTGGGGCTTTGAGTTGGCGAGTGTCTATGAATTCAGGGTAGCCATCCGGGATGATTAAGCTGAAACTCTGGAAAAGATTATAACAACATAATTCGAAATCTGATGATAATAATAAGATAAAAATAGATTTGAGGCTGAGATTGAAACAAATTTATATTATTATATATTCACATTTATACAGAGTATTATTTAATAAATGTTATGATACTAAACAACTTATAAATTAATTAGCTGTAAAAATAAGATGGTGTAAATAATACATCTGGATTATTAACTAAAAAAAATTATAATTATAAAAAAAGAAAATTATATTTAATAATAATATAAAGATTTCATAACATGTTATATATGTTAAATTGTCATATATTTGAGTTGAGATAAAGTATATTATATAGAAAAGATAAGACAGTATAAATAATATATAGAATACTACTAAATTAAAATTATGATACAAATATGAATGAATAAATAAATAAAGAGTTTAAATTAGTAATAACTAGTAGAAGATCCCCGTGCTTCTCACTGGTTAGATTTTTGCACATTTTCGTTTGTTTCGTTTGTTACATTAGTGGGTACAGTAAAGTGTTTGTTTTCATTAGATTGTTTGATTAGAGACAATAAAAAGTAAGCGTTCAGAAATGGGAATAGACGAAACTGTAACATCCCAAAAATCCAGGGTAAAAAATTCATTTTTATTATAGTCAAAACACTAATGAAACTTATCCAAACATTGAAAAACATTTTAAATAAAACAATTATCAGAGTTCACTCCCAAAGATCAATGTTGCGGAAAACACGGTTGTATGCGCTGCGATCGTCCCGAGCTCCAAAATCTGAAAACTGGAGTATCTGAAACATAAACTGAAAACCGTAAGCACAAACTTAGTGAGTTCCCCGAAACATATCCCACATAAACCACATAAGTCATGCATACAAACATATAAGGATGACATGGAAACGCTTCATGGTCTTACTCCGAGTGCCATGGGAACCCCCACATGGTCTTCATATAAATACATAACACGTTGATAGCACATTCGCAAATAACCACTACAGTTAAATAACATGGGTCAGCCTTGGTGCATTCGACCCATTGATATGGTGAGGAGACTCGCCTCGAATGCAGAAACTTGCTGAAAGAATTCCCTAGTTGCTGCCCTGACGACACCTCCGAACTATCAGATCAAAATAACACCCAATTAGCAATTGGGTTCCATTCCAAGGCCCACCAACCATACTTGGGGTAAAATGACCATTTTACCCCTGACCCCAACAAGAACCAAAACTGAGGCCCATCCTTAATAACCAAAAAGGCCCAAGACCAAAAGATCCACAAAGGCCCACTAGTGGCTCAATTTCCAAACTGGGCCTTATCCTAAGCCCATACTTCCCTTAATTACAATTCAGATTACCACAATTACCTCTTGGGACAAACTTGCTCAAAATCAAAAATCAAAAGTCAAAGTCAACGGTCCAAGTTGAACCAACTCGCCGAGTTGTCCTTCAACTCGTCGAGTTTCTTCATTAGTCTGCAAAGATCGGGCAAAACCCCATCAACTCGCCGAGTTCACTAATGAACTCGCCGAGTTACCCAGAATTCCAACAACATAATGCATTAAGCTGCCTTCAACGAATCCAAAAGTTCCAAAGCTCAGATTTCAACTAAAATGAGATCAAGAAGGGTAAAGTTTCCAACTTTACCCCTAGGAACCACCCAAATGGGTCCAAACCCAAACCCTAGACTTAAAAGAGTGATGGCTTAATCATTAAGCACTTATTCTACAAGGACACAGCCCCAAAATGCAGATCTGGCCACATAAGGCTAGATGGCCAAGTAAAGTCTCCAACTTTACACTTATTCACTACTAGAAGAAGCTCAAATGCACAAAAGAGGCCAAAAGAAGGACTTAATGAATGTATGAAGCCCTTAGGACCATAAAGTTGACACATTTATGCCAAAAGAGCTCATGAAGATCATATATCTTAAAGAATAACCACTTGGGACTTCTACTTCCCCAACAACCACCCATTCATGGCTAAATGCATACAAACAAACCCAAGAAGAGATCTAAGACAATATTGAGCAAGGTTAGAACTTTATACCCGAAATATGCTGAAAATGGAGTAGAGAACCAAGATCTGAAAGATCCTACTTGAACCATCACCTTGCACCAAGCTTCTCTTCCTTCAATGAGCTTCAAACACACCCACAATGAGCTCACAACACTCAAGGAGGATTTAGGGTTTCGAGATTAGGGTCAGGGGCTATGGATGCTGGGAATGAGGCCAACACCTGGGACTGAAGGTGTTTAAATAGGGTGCAAAACCCCAAAATTAGGGTTTCCTAAACAGCGTCCAACTCGCCAAGTTAGCTCCTTCAACTCGTCGAGTTGTCTCATTAACCTTGCGACCAAAACAACTTCTACACGCCGAGTTGAGGCTCCTCAACTCGTCGAGTAGACCCATTAGATCCCCACGATTCTTCATCTTCCACTCGCCGAGTTGGCTCCCCCAACTCGCCGAGTTCAACTTGAAATTGGCATAATTCCACAATTAACCTTCTAGATTTCGGGTGTTACAGAAACGATCATTTTCCTTAGATTATGTGGCAAAAGATACATGGATTCAGAGCATAATTTCTTTATAATTAAAAAGCAACATAGTTATATAATAAAAGATTCAAATCATATATTATTATAAGTTTATAACTGGTAAATAGTAAAGTACATTGCACATATTGACAGTAAGAGTAACGCACATTGCTATTATCCTCAATCTGCCTATTTGAGCATTATCCATAACAAAAATGATTTTTTCACCCATATCAATGGTCCAAAACAATATAAAACACCTTAAAAGGGGAAAATTGTCGTTTTCATGAACAAACACATTCATAGTAATATTGCATCACCCAACATATGCATTATGTATATTTTAAATCCTATAAAGAATTGCATCATATAATTTATCATAAAGAATTACATCAAATAATTTATCATAAAGTGTGTTGTGGTCCCTAGCATGGATGCTCGAGCCCTTATTTTTCTAGAGGCCCATGATCAGATGGCAAAAAGGGATTCACAAAAATGGGCTTAACTAGCCAAAATGAGTTGAAGATTCTTCATTATTAGCTTATTAAATGCTTCCTTAATAGGTATTTAATAGTTTAATAATGAAGTTCAGTAATGGATCTTTAATAGTTTAATAATGGCTATTTAATAGTTCTTTAAATGCTTTAGACTTTTCATTTTTTTCTTAGCCCTATTAATTGAGCTCAAAGTTGTAATTCCAAATCATCTCTAATTTGAATAATAAGAATTTCATTTTCCTCCCAAGTTTTCGTGTGTGTTGACCGTATTTTAAAGCCCAATTACGCGGTATTCTTAGAATAAACGTGGGTTATTAGAGATTTTTATGAGTATTCTATAAGAATCAATAGGTTCAATCTTATTTATCTTTGTTTGTTTTTGTATGCTACATCAGTTGGTATCAGAGCCGAATTTCTAGTTCAAAATGCCTCCAAGAAGAAACAGACCAGCCTATGATGTTCATGAACTAGAGCAACGACTTATGGCACGCATGGAGGAGAGGATGGACCAAATGATGGATCAATTGACAGAGCGGATGGTCAAACTGATGAATCAAAGGGATACAGATCTCACAATCCTTCGATTGTGGAAGATGATGAATTTGGGAATCCGTTCGGTGATGGTGAAGATTCGTATTCTAACGACAATATGGTGAGGCGGCCAAGACATGATCATGGAGCCGACAATAGGCGTTTAGAGGCCGGAATGAAAATTGATATCCCAAAATTTGATGAGGCCAGTTTGAATCCAGAAGGATTCATCGATTGGTTGGCTACAACTGAGGAGGTATTTGAATTCAAACGAGTTCCTGAAAACAAGAGAGTATCATTGATCACCACCAGGTTACGTGGAAGGGCATCTTCATGGTGGAAACAGTTAAAACTAACACGAGCTAGACTCGGGAAGTCATAGATTATGACTTGGAGGAAGATGAAGAAGTGTTGGCGGTCCAACTTTCTACCACATAAGTTTCAAAGATTGATGTACCAATGCTTGCAACATCTAAAGTAGGGTGCCAAGTCGGTTAATGATTATACAACTCAGTTCTACCAATTGATTGCCCGAAATGATATCCAGGAGTCAGAGGCACAACTTGTTGCTTGATATATTAGGGGTTTAAGGGTTCAGATCATGGACTCTATCAACATATTTTACCCGGTATCTATTTCTGAAGCACACCAACGGGCATTGGCTATTGAGAAACAAAATCGTCGGGTGGGCGGGTCGTCGACGTCTGCCAGTGTTGGTGGATGTTTCGGGACGTGTGGTATGGTACCTCACATTATGCCTACTCAGCAGAGACCGACAGGTAGCAGTGTTGGACCAACTCCTAAGGGGACCGGTTGTAGTGGCTTGAAATGTGTTAATTATATGGAGACGGATCACCGGCAATCAGAGTGCAAGAAGGCTAGAAAAAGACATATGTTTGTTGAGCCTGACGATTGGCTGAACGATGATGTTGGTGAAGATTACAAAGATGTCCCGGTATATGATGATGAGCCTCAATTTGAAAAAGAAGTTGTAACTGGAGATATGGGGTGAATTTGGTGGTACGACGCTATTGCTTTACACTAAAAGTTGTTGATGATGATTGCTCAAACACAACATGTTCCAATCAACATGTACCATTTTGGGTAAGGTTTGTACCTTCATTATTGACTCTAGAAGTTGTGACAACCTGATATATGAAGAGGCGGTTCAAAAGCTGGATTTAAAGGTAGAGAATCGTTA